ACTTGTCTTCTTCAGTTACTCTAACACATTGAATCTTGTTTCCTGTTCCAGTGTCACCGGGCTGTTTAGAGGGGCGTGGAACTTGTCAGAGTGTTTGAGGGTAGCTGCAAGCCATTAGTTTTTCCCTGTAAATGTAAATGTTGGAAAGCACTGTGCAGCTTTCAAAAGTTGCCATTGAGTGAGCGATAGATCGGAAACATATTTTAGAAACTGATTGTTCCACAATTATTCTGTGATTTTTGTTTTCCTTTTTGTTTGGGATTTTTTTTCAGTTATTTTGGGGTTATTTATTTCAGTTAAGTTATTGTTATTTTTTAGTCATTTTGAGTAAGATCAAGAGAACAGAGACCGTGCAGTGAATGATAGTGCTGTCGGTAATTTTTGGTTGTGCCCTTACTCGACGTCTGCGATTGTTGTGACTGTAGGGAGCTGCTGTCTTCCATCCTCATGGACTGCAGAGTTGCAGAACAGGATCAGGAAGAAGAAAAATAAAATCAAAGTACTTTAAAGCAGCAGTGGGGCTTAGCAGCATATTGGTTATTATGTATGTTAACATTAATCAGATTGGGCCCTGCCCAGGTTTTTCATGCTGACTGGGTAAAATTTTGGTGTGTGTTGGTAAAGCGTATGTCTGCTGATACAGTTCTCAAAAACACTTCCATCTCTTTCTTGTTTAAATTACTGTCACTGGCAACTTTATTTAAATCATTTTGTGTTCTCAAAGTAAATTCTTTCCAATATTTTGCAAGGGTAGTAGGGTAATTATCTTTGAAATCTCCCTGAAAATACAACCCTATTTGTGCAGTGTACAAACAGCTTTAAAATTCTGGCTTTGAACTGTTCTATTTCCAAGTGCTACCACAGAAATTGAAATAGTATTCAAATCCAGTGTCTGTGTATTGATTTGTTTTCAGGTGCAGGCCCAAGTACAGTCAGCAGATGATCTTGATAATCAAACAATAAAGAGAACTCGCCAGTAAGTATTTAATTTGGAAAACTTCAGTTTGGTTACTTGTATGATTCTTGTTTTAATTCTGGGTTCCTGGCTATGATGATTGAATGTTGTTAGGTTTTTTACCTGTAGACCTCTTAATTGGGTGACAGTGATCTTTCTCGTATTCTCAGTTATTTCCTAAATTATCTTCTAATTTAACCATGAGGAATTAATTTGCATATGATGCTTGCAGGCATGGTGGGGGAGGATAGTTTGAGAGGATCAGGCTAATCTCTACCAATTATGAATAGTGCATAGACTGGAAGAAAAATTCAAATGTCAATGTTCTCCTGAGCTCTTGATGTAATTTACATTTTATTTAATATACATAAAAATCTATGAAGCGTTTTAGAAATAAGCAAGATGGGTCACAAGGTGGACCCTTCAGCTCTCCCCTCATGTATTCCTCCCATTCTCTGCCTGCCAGGCTCTTTGGAACCTGTTTGTTGGTAACACAACAGCCTGAGTAAGCAGCAAATGCTGCAGACCTGTGGAATGTCACCTGTTTGAATTGCTTGGAGGACCATTTTGACCCCATCTGTGTCAAGGAAGCTGGATGTTTTTTTAAAAAATGAACATTTCAGTGCTGTGATTCTGATGTATTTTGCCAACATGTGATCTAGTGCTCAGCTGAATAGGTTTTGGTAACATAAAAAATACAAGAGTCAGTAGCCAAGCTTCTTGTAGATTGTTTGACTGCATGTGGTCTTCGTACTGGCCTGTATTCTCAAAGCCTGTACATTCTTTACCAAGTTTTGGACATACCTTTAAAGATACCCTGACCAAAATTTCTGCAACGTTTTTGTGAGTGATTTCTGTGTTTTCAAACTAGATGGCGAACTTCCACCACAACTGGAGGGATTCTGACAGTGTCCATTGATAACCCAGGAGCAATCATAGCCCCAATGTGAGTTGTCAAAAAAGTTCTTAACATATCTGAAATCACTCTTTGGAGCCGTTTAGCAATTTCCTTGCACACAGTATTTGGGGTGACGTGAAGGTCGCAGCTTTTTGTGAAGACTTTTAAATCTGACCCCTTTCTAAATGTTCACAGCTGGATTTCTTAAAGCAGCTCCCATTTAGGAGCTTGATGTGGATATGGAGTTGAAGAGTAGTGGACTGATACATTTTTATTTCTTTCTTTTCACCTTGTCTGCCTCTTCCAAATCAGACTATATTGCAGCTAGTTTCCTCCCCTCTCGGAAGGAAAGTGAATGAACATCTAGTTGATGAATGGTAATGGTTCCTCCCTGATTCATAAAGATACTGCTAGAGTTGTGCTTAAAGAAGGCATTGCTGTGTTTGTCTTCGGGCAGTTGATAGTACTGTTGCTTCATGAGGTGTCTTTATTTTTAACATCTCTTGAGTGGCTTTTTCTGTTAGTAGCATTTTATCTCTTAAGGAAGACTGAACCAACTCTTACTTTTTGTATTTATGGGAATAATTACAGCAAATTATGTGTTTGTTGGTAGGACTGAGAGATAAAAGACAAGTTTGTTTCCTGTCAGGACATTGCTGTCTGATAACAATAATAAATTCTACCCTTTTATAGTTCCATCTGACTTTTGCCTTCTTAAATTTGTGCTCTCCAGCTGTTCAGCTACACTGATCAAATGCCATGATGAAAACTTCATACCTCTATCAGCATTAAGGCTTTATTGCATAAAATGTATTCACTGTGTCCTTTGTAACATCCTTCTTTCACAGTTCCCAGAAATTACGATTAAGTCGTACTCCGGTGCCACCATTTCTGATGAAGAGGGACCAATCTGAAGAGAAGAAGATTCCCAAAGGCGTTCCATTGCAATTTGATATTAATAGTGTTGGGAAACAGGTAAATGCAGTTACTTTTCTTAACTGTGGAAGTAGCTTCAAGACAGATAAAAGTCACTGAACCAGGCACTTTCTTCCTAGACTCACTAGTTACAGAAAGAGGGAACTAATGACTAGTTCTTGGTTTTGCTTCCAGTTCTTCCACTAACTTGCTATGTAACTTGAAGCATTATTAAACTCATTGTTCCGGTTCCTCTGGTTCAAGTCTTGCATGCCCACGTGCTGTAAATGGGATTTAGAATGTTGAACATTTCTAAAAGCCTTTTGGTGTTCCTTCTCAGCCCAAATCTGCAAGTGTGTGTGATTCAGGGATGAGCTGCTTTGTTACGTAACCTCTGTTGAAACTCTGACAGCTGAATTAGCAACTTTTGCTATTCATCTAAAAAAAACCAAAAAAGAAACCGCATCACTTGTGATGACATAAAGGCTTGAAAGATGAGCAGTTTTTCACAAGTTTTGTGAAGACAGGCAATGTGGTGCAGGAATCTTAGAACTGTCGTTGAAGGAATTCTTAGAGGTGACAGTCAGCTGCTGTTCTTGTAATCAGCCCCTTACTGGCAACTGTAGAAAACTACATGGGATCGATGTGTTGGTCTGGGTTTGTTCCTTCTGTGAATAAGCAGGATGTCAAAAATAGACAACTACTACTATATTGTAAAATAATTGAGCTTTTGGATGTTTTTGGATGCCAGTTTGCTGCCTCAACTGGATGGACTGGAAATCAACCTGTATTAATACAGTTAAAATGCTGTGTTTGTTGAAGTTGCATAGAATCTGTATGGGGGAATGCCCTTTTCCAGTCTTTCTGTCCTCAGTTTAACTTAGGACATTTTGAGCAGACTTTCAGTCTTGGCTTTGTGTACCATGTGTTCTTAATGAATTCTGAAAAATATATATACATCTCTTGATGTATATACACCAGTCTGATTTCTAAATGGTTTGGGAAATGATGAAATCAAATTAAACTTTTTTTAATATGAGGCAATTAAGAAGTGATGATATAGAATGAAGAAAAAAATATTCTTGCCTCCATTATTTTGATGAAATTAACATCTTTTACGTTTGTGGTGAAATTACTTCATTTTTCAGACAGGGATGACATTGAATGAACGTTTTGGGATCCTGAAGGAGCAAAGAACAGCCCTATCTCAGCACAAAGGAAGCCGTTTTGTAACAGTGGGCTAACCTGACAGATGGACCCGAGTACTGATCCCACCTTCCTGAGAAACTGGGATAAAAGTGGGCAGAAGAATCCAGTATACGTCACTGAAATTCTCCAGACTTCTTGCTAAGGTGGTGGCAGAGCTATCTATCTTCATTACTTTTACTTGGCAGGGTAAAAGACGCGATGCCCTGCAGGGGGGAAAGTAGGAAACCGATCTGCTGGAGTGGGACCATCACCTGGTTGGAAAAAATTCTGTTGCCCAGCTGATGACAAACACTGATTTTGGTATACCTTGTAACCGGAACAAACACAAGTTTTGAAAGGTTGTTGGGTTTTTTTCCTGTTGTTTAGGAGTGCTCAGTATCTGTTCTTTGACCCCTCTGTTATGCTAAAGATTGTGTGTTTCATTACAAACCCCATTTTAGGGTTTTTTAGGGACTGCCTCTGAACTTTCCTTTGGACTGCAGTTTAGCCCAGAGCCTCAGTCCATGAATACTTTGAAAGTGATGTAGCAGCATTTTTCATGAGAGCATTGGTCGTACTTTTTTGTGCTTTTGAAGTTGAAATTTTTTTTTCCTTTCTTGAAAACTAAATGTTTCACATCCTCACTTTCACAAATAAGCCTGTTAAGCTGAGACCCAAAATACATGATTGGGATGGAGAGTATTCTACTCTTATCCTTAAAAGTGATCCAGATCATAATTGGAAGAATACTGCACAGGCAGTATGGAAGTAATTTATATTGCAAATAGCTCAAGCTCATCATCCTCCTCTGTAAATGAAGTATGTCAGTCTCCTTTTTTTAAAAAAAAAATCTTTGCTTTCTATTTCTTTTATTAAGTTGTTGGGTTTTTTTACAAACAATGCAATAACTTCACATCTTTTAATAATTTCCTAGGAATAAATACAACAGTTCTCAAGAAAGTCAGTGGTATGAGTTCCTTATTCTCCCAGATGTAGGATTCTCATCTTTCATACCTTGCCCCAGAGGGTTTTCTCTGGCTCTTACAAATAGCCAGAGGCAAGCAATCCCAAATAGCCAGAGGCAAGCAATCCCAAATAGCCAGAGGCAAGCAATCCCGTGGCACTTGTTTGTTCATACCAAAGAGGAGTAAGATGTGAAGCTGGTCAGACATGGTCAGACAGCTTGAAATCGGCCGAAACTGGGGAATGTTGCTGGAGGAAGGCCCTTGGTCCGCCAGCGTTAAGATGTTAAAGCAGGAGCATTTAGTCACTTACTTGAAGCTTAGCTTCATGCTTCAGAATTTGCAGGATGGTAACAACTGGGGCATCCTCAGCCTGGATTATGATCCCTAAAACCTTTTCAAAATTGCTTCCAGACCAGGAACCAGAACTTAACACCGTTCTACAGCAATGAGTCAGGTAAAAGCAGGATTGGCTTGCTGCATCCGGAAATGTTGATGGTGTTTGAAATGAGTTTAACTCCTTTTATTGTTCTTGACGAATTTACATTTGACTTCTTACAGAGTTGGTTTCCTTGCATTTTTATCTCAAATTCCAAGTTAACTAGCTTTTACTGGGAACTTCAATGTTAAAGAGCATTTGACTGTAGGAGGGCTTTTGTTTGTATAGCAGTTTTAAAGTCTGAGTGCATCCTAATGCTATATAGTAATTAAACCCTTATTTTTAATGTTGAAAAATATACCTTAGCAGAATTAAACTAAACGTAATGGTGTTAAGGTTTTTTTCTTAATTACTAGTAGGATTTTTTTGTTGTCCCACCGTTGGAATTTTGAGTAGATAAAGTATTGTCAGTCATCCTGTTTCAGTGTATACATTTTCCATGTGCCAGGATGCAACAAAAAAAATTCTTTTGCATCAACATAGATGCAAAACTTTGATGCAATGCATCAAAAAATGCTAGTTTGTATTTAATGAGAAGATGCTTTACACTGTACCTTTTGGTATTTTTTGGAGAAGTTATTACATTTGATCTATTCTGAAGCTGTTAAATTTTTTTTTTTTAAATAAAAAGTTACAGGTTTCATGCTGTCTTGTTCCTGTTATAACCACCTGGGTAATACATTGGTTATGTGAATTTTCTGATATCCTTCGAGGCATTCTTAATTATTAAGCCTGACTTAAGGAGGGCTTGCATTCATTGCCTAGCTTAATATCCTGAAAATAAAGCGCTTACTTGGAGGGGCACTCTATAAACTCACTTGCATTTAAATGTGTCAGCTATTAATGTATTTTTCAGTAGCACAGTCTACTTTAGTGTTTTGGTGTGATTCTAGTACCAAATCCCTTAACCTGTCAGCCCAAGCACCGCTTTGCGTGTTGCCATGACACGTCCTGCAAACGAGAAGTCGCCCTCATCTCAACCTCCACGCATCAGCTCTGTTTTCCAGTGAAGCTCGCGGGAGTCTCACAAAGTGGTGAAAACGTTGCTGTTAATTGGTGGCGCAGGGAAACAAATACTGTCTGTAAAATGTGTTACGGAATCACAGAGTGTCAGGGGTTGGAAGGGACCTCTAGAGGTCATCTAGTCAGAGCAGGATCACCTGCAGTAGGTTGCCCAGGAACGCATCCAGGTGGGTTTTGAATGTTTCCAGAGACGGAGACTCCACAGCCTCCCTGGGCAGCCTGTGCCCGGGCTCTGTCACCCTCACAGGGAAAAGTTTTTCCTAATGTTTTTGCGGAACCTCCTTCCAGCTTGTACCCATTGCCCCTTGTCCTGTCATTGGACATCACTGAGAAGAGCCTGGCTCTGTCCTCCGGACACTCCCCCTTGACATATTTATAAACGTTTCTGAGGTCACCCCTCAGGCTCAAGAGGCACTGAGGGCCCTGTCCCAGCAGCTGCCATCTCTGTTGCCAGCTCCAGCAGCGGTTCCAGCGTTGGCAGCCTGTCGCTGCTTTCCCAGAGCAAGGCTGGCGTTGGTTTGGACCTTGCAAAGAGTGTGAGCTTTTAGGGATTGGTGACATCAAGAAGAAACACAGGAATGCAGCCGCTGCTTTCCCCACCCAGCCCGAGGTGTGCGTCCCCTGCCGGAGCGCGTCACCAGTACCAGTAAGCGATGCTCGCCCGAAAGCCACACTAGAATTTTTCTAACTTTCAGAAGGCGCACAGGCACTACAGCCACGCTCATGGGGAGGCTGCTCGCTGCGCCACGTTTCCCCGAAAAGAGGATGTTTCGGGCCGTTTTCGCGGCCGCAGAGCC